ATAACAAGTATAAGAATGTAGAGAGTATGATTGTATAATTATATAAGTTTTTGTGAGCGAGTAAATAAGTTCATGTACATATACGATCCGCTTTGCTGGCCTAATCACTTTTCAAGCGAGCTGAGCTGATCCTGTAGATAATGCCGTCTCTACCTGGATCCATATTCCAGATTCCCCAAGTGATTGCCCACAAAGCCAGAATAAGACAAACACAAAGCCATAAGATAATATTGAAGAGCGCAGCGTATTCTGGATCGTAGTCAGGTGCCAGGTTAAGGGCTGATGCGATTTCAGGCAAATTATCCTACAATTGAAGATACATTTTGTCAGGGATGAAGCGCAACAACCAATAAGAGTTCAGAATTATGTACAAGACAGAAAATAAAACCTATATGCAGATATTTATCAAATTTCTTAGCAACGCCATGGTTAACCAGCAAAAAAATAATACTAACAAGCATTAACACCTAAGCAATTGAAAGCGACAACGGAGGTGCTAATTTTAAAGTGAGAATTATAAGATATACATTTAATTCCAATTCATTAGTACTCATAGTATATAGTACTTATAATAACTGTCGTTTTGCTCACAACGTTCTGCAATCAAAGCTAAGAGCATAGATAGCAGCAAGACTACGTTGTTACCATCAACAAAATAAAAAATACCCTTCGATTTAAACAGATTTTTAAAAGGGCAGGCATAGAAATACCTAATGGGTTAACAAAAATGCATGAAGGTACTATTTCTAAATTTATAAATGAGGTAACCATAATTGGAAAACATGCAAAACACAGCCACATCTATGGATAGTGATAGAAAATTAACATAGCATGAAACAAAATAATACTGAGAAAATTACACTCCAAAAATCCTAGTTTCTCAAGATCATTTTCGCGTAGTTAAAGTAATAAAAAATAATTATATAGAAAAGCATAGGATAAGCAAAGTAAAAAGGGAAAAATAGTAAATTGGTATAATTTATTTAAGAAATCACAAGGTAAAAAGATCAAAAGTATCACAGATACAGCATACAAAATAAATGTAGATAATATATAATTTGGCCGAAAGTGAGCAAAAGTGTTCTTCAAAAGGAATAAGTGAGATAAACAAGCAAAGTAAAGGACCATAAGAAGGAATTTCTAGCCTACTCTTTAGCATACTATGATTTAGAGGAAGCATATATTAGTTATTAAAATATAAATATTCAGACTATATTTTAATACTCTCAAAGTTTGTAGCAAATCACAAGCAGCTAAGGCCTTCTGTCGATAAGATTTGGACAAGAGAGTCTTTCAAATAGAGTAGTAAAAGAAAAGCAGGTTGATAAAAACAATATACTATACATTCAGACTTATGTATAGAACAAAAAATATCCGCTTAGGTTTGGCAAATATGTTAAATTAATCGCAAAGTGAGGTGTTCACGTTTATTGGCAAAGAAATAATAGTAAAGTTAATCGTGACAAACATAAAATGAACCAAAGCTAAATGTGCATAAAGGGTAAATCTCAATAAGTAATTGTGAATACTATAGCACAACTGCATTTTCCGTTCTATATGCCATTCATGACTAATAATTCAAAGATGGTGCATAATAAGTTACAGATTTAAGCAAATGTTTAGAGCCCCAAAATGATTATCAACTTATTGCCCTACCTTTTGAATAAGGAAGGAAACCCATGTTATTCTCATGTGGAAATTGACAAGGCAGAAGAAAACAAAGTTCTGCATCGAAAATTGTGAGATAAAATTAACAAATACGAGTAATAATTAAATTTGAGTAAAAATTTGAGACAAGACTTCATTGCATGGGCCATAATAGTTGAATATTTGTGTATCAATGAAGTTATGTACAATCAATGAGACAATTGTTTACAAATACAAACC